CTGAACTATAAAATTGGGTATGTTTAAACTTAATGTTTGAATGATTGAACTACAAAAGTTTTACGTCATGGTCATGTCATGTAATATTACTACAAGAAAAATTATATTTTTTATTATTATGGACAATCGCTTAGGGGTGTGCATGACAATCATTCAGTTCCCTGACACTTTTCTGAAAAGAAATAATTATTTTCTAGTTTTGTGCCTTGGAACAGTTTCTGAGAAAAAAAATATGTTTGACAACAGTTCTATTTTCATTCCGAGAATGAGAATTGCATTTGATGACACAATAAATAATATAATAAAAAATAATTCCTATTAAACATAAAAAAAATTCTGATCATCACTTTCCTTTTCATATGGTGATGGTGGCGACAGTGGTGGTGGCAGCAGCATGGTGGTGATGGTGACGGCAATGACAGTGGTGGTAATAGTGGCGATGGTGGTGGTATAGTGGTGGCAATGATGGTGGTGGTGACAACAATGGCTGCGACAGTGGTGGTGATGGTGGCAGTAGTGGCGGCAATGGTGGTGATGGTAATGTCAATGGTTGCGGTGGTGGTGGCGATGTGGTGATGGTGGCGACAGTGACTGCGACAATGATGGTAGTGGTTGGTGACGGTGGTGGCGTGGTGGTGGTGACGGTAGAGGCTCCGACGATGGTAGTGGTGACGATGGTGGTTGAATGGGGTGACGGCAGTGACAGTGGCATGGTGGTAGTGATGGGTGGAGGCGGTGGTGATGGTGGCAGTGACATCGTGGTATTGGTGGTGGTGGTGACGACGACACTGGTGGTACGACGACGACGGCGATGATAGTGGCGGTGGTCGTGTTGGGGTGATGATGGTAGAGGTGGAGACTGGAGAGTGATTGAGAGATCATTTTGTGCCCAGAAACAAAAAAAACAGAAATTTTTTTATTCTTTTTTTTTTATTCTTCAGCATAAAAATTAAACCTGTTTATTTCAGGATAAAAAAATAAATTAATTTTATCAAACGAGTTTTCTATTCATTTCTATTCCCAAAAAAAAAAAATTGATTCTAAAAAGGTTGTTATGCACGCCCTTAAAATTCATCATAATTGCACACGAATTATGTAACGGAAATTGATTCAAACATGTATTGACTGTATTTATGATAAAATACTCGGAAAATATTGTGGATTGGAAGGTACTCCCCTGTTCTTCGTTTATTTGGTTTTTGATTACGACATTTTGGCCCGAATTTGGGATTTATGGTTTGACATTTGATTCGCTGAGAAAGGAATAAAAATCAACTAATATTGGGATATGGTTGGTATTTTATGAGTTGAGTCATGTCATTCAACTGAGGCTCCTCTTTTATGAACAATGACCATTTTGTCACGTTTGGCAAAAAAATTTACTAAACTGTCACGTCAACAGTAAATTTTGTCAAAATGTCACGCGGCATATTTCACTACACTGTGTAGCGAAATATATTTGCGAGTAATTTGCTACACAGTGTAGCGAAATATGCCATGTCAAGCTGCATGGTCAGCAAAAATGACACGTGTCAAGCAGACAGAATTCAAGCATAATTCGCTACACAGTGTAGCGAATTTCTGTCTGCTTGACACGTGTCATTTTTTGCTGAATATGCATCCTGACATGGCATATTTCACTACACTGTGTAGCGAATTACTTGCAAACATATTTCGCTACACAGTGTAGCGAAATATGCCGCATGGCATTTTAGCAAAATTTACTGTTGACATGGCAGTCTGATAAATTTTTTTGCCAAATGTGACAAAATGGTCACTCTTCCCCTCTTTTTATCTTTTCGCATTGAAACCCAAATGATTAGAATTTTAACAATTCACATTGGAAATTTACGTTATATGCTTCAACTCATCAAATATTGTATTATTAGAATCCTTTTATACATGTCAGGTTTATAAATTTAAGGACTTGAGCATGAAAGTCACATTTTTAATAGATTTATCCGTACTCGCAATATTAATTATTAATTATTAGGTAAATAATATTTTTTTTAACATTTCAAACCAATGGAATCAAATTTGAATAACTTAGCTAATGTAAATCCATATTTAATACTTGTTTATCTGTTTTTAATTATTTAAATTTTGTTATAAGTTTATTTTTAAGCATTGAATTTATATATATTTTAACTTTATAATTAATTTTACTGCAAATATCATATAAGAATGAAAAAAAATATAAATAGGAAAAAAAATCTTTCACTTAAAATAATTCAAAATAACATTGTCTGAAATTTTTAAAAATCTTTCATTCAAAATAATTCAAAAATATATATACACATTATATTTATATTTATAAATATTTGAAATTTTATTTTTAAATGATGAGCATTTTGGTAGAGAATTTATTTTTTTTACCCTTAAGTAAATCTCAACCCAGCCCACTTTTTAAACATTGTCCGAAGAAAACACTTAATAGAATATGGACTTTTACGAATTAGGGCCTAATATAGAATTTTATGCGGTGTTTGGAACGAGAGAAATTTTGTTTACTGGAACTATTTTTTACCAAAAAAATGGTTGAAAGTTTTTTTACCAGGTAAGTTACAAAAAGATAGATATTTGGTAGGCTAATTTTTTTTCCAAAAGACTTGTGTTAATTTTACTAACTATGTTTGGTTGATTGTAAAAAAATGATGGGAATCTTACCCAAAACTACCAAAGTAGTCATAAATTTAAATATTGTTGAATTTATTCTGTCATCAAACCTTTGTTGAATTTTTTTCTTTCACACCACCATAAACTAGGATTGATTAAAGGGTGTTTTTGTCTTACAAAACTTTTTTGACTTTCCCCCCACGTGGTGAGTTTTTTTTTTTCTCCATGTTTTGAATGCCAAAATTGGATAATGTTTTCATGTGGAAAATAATTGAATGGGAGAAATTTTTTCCAACCTTCAATTTAGTTCTTCCCCCTACAAAACATGGCAAACTCATTTTCCCTATCACTCTTTCCAGGGAATTTTTTTTTTCCCTGATACCAAACAACCCACGATCAAGACAATTGGCTGAATCCCGTGAAACCATTTCATAGAAGTTCATTGATATCCTCTTTTTGTAAAGCAAATCGACTTCGATTCTTGAATAATCGATATCACTTCTGCTTCTATTGTAACAACAAATTCCCTTTTTATGTGGATTATACCTCATTCAAGAATTGTTTTTGATCAAATCCGGAGGAATCAATAGAAAAAGGCAAATCCGTTATGATACACCAGATCTGGCTCGGTTATTGATAGAGTGAATAGATCTGCCATTTTTTGAAATATCTCTTCTGATTCAAAATCGTGGTGTAACGTGTATCCCCCCTTCTTATAAGCTAACACAAAAGCCACCACCTTAAAGTGATGAGAAAATGAGGAGAAAAGGAAACATAATCATAAATGCCATTCAATATTCAAATTAGAGGTGTACAAAATAACCAAAAAATTAAACCGAACCGATTCACCCTTAAAATAACCGATTTTTAAAAACCAGTTTATGAACCGAACCGGTTTTTAAAGAACCAGTTCATGAACCGAACCGGTTTTTAGAACCAGTTTAAGAACCAAACCTTTTTGAACCAAACCGAACCGTTTTCAAACTGAACAAAATTGATTTTTATAACTTTATTTTTTAAATTTTAATTATTTTTTTCAAAATAAGGTCGACCTGAACCGGTTCCGATCCGAACCGAACCGTTTCCAACCAAATCGAACCAGTTTTAAATCGAACCGAACCAAATCAAACCATTTAAACCAATTCGGTTCGATTTTTAAAAAAATTCGGTTTGGTTCGCCCCATGCACATCCCTAATTCAAATAATAGTTTGAAACAAAAATGAAAGATGAGTAGTCAGTGTTTGAAAACTCCGTCCTATCCCAGGGTTGACCCCGTCGGGTCATTGACTCCTTCTCTATAAGGGTTGGGATCAGTAGTTAGACGCTACATGCACGTTGACCCCCGAATCAAATCGTGTTTGGAAGGAGTCTGCGATCGAAAATCATATATTATGTTAATTATTCTTTCATTAAAAATAAAAAAATGTTTCTTTTTTTTAGAATAAATGCAGATAAGTTATCTGCATTGAGCCTAAAATAATATTATTTTAAGGCAAAAATTAAAGTATTTTTGTAATTTTAAATTATTTTAAGATTATAATAATTTTTATCATGGTAATTTTTTAATCTTTCAACCCAAAATAACGTCTTTTAGGGAGTGAATTATTTGCAATCACTATTGAAATATTTTTCCAAATAAAAAACATTATTTATCAGATCATAATTAATGATGATAAGTTTAACATTTTTAAATTTGCAAGATTCTAATTACATCGATTATTATTTGACTAAACAAATATTTATGACACTAATTAATATTTAACTTGGGTGTGGTGACAGGCTTGTTCGAGACTCTGTAGGTGTGGCTTGGCCTAGGATGATTTCTTAATTGTTTTTATTTTATTTTATTTCCTTTCCTGATTGTTATAAAAAAAAAAAAAAAAGAGCAAGTGTTACATGACACGATTCCATGAGTTGTACACAGAACCGGTATGCGCAAGCACAACTAATAGGAAATTTTTTTGGTGTTTCGGGCCCGTCTGGTCCTTCTATTTAGAAGATGAAATTTGGATTATTTTTTATTTCTCTTCTTTTCTCTCCTCTCATTCCTCATTCCTCATTAATTATATTATTTTGATTGATCAGAATCATTGAATTAATGATAATCCAGTACCACTGAAATAATTCTCCAACTAATATCGTTTGGGTGTTTACACAACTGTTTTGGTTGCAGCACCTCGCAATTGCACATCTCATATGTGGAATTAGTTGCGCTTGCGCATCCTTCTCCTACTCCTACACAATTAGTTATATTATTTTGAAAAATAATTTTAAATTTGGTAATTTATTTTTAAAATTTTCATTAATTATGTTCGTCGGTGGTATCTTTGTAAAAATAAATAAGATAAAGTTACCCATTTCGAAACACAATACGATACAATACAACAACAGAGGCCCAGTTCCTTTTCCGAACTCAGAGTTTACCTCGTAAAGGCTCGTCGAATCTTGTCCCACCCTTGTCTCCTTCTCTCCTCTGCATTCAGAAACGAGGTATGTAGCTCCAACCCTTTTGCATTCTTCGCTCACCCTTTTGATTATTTTGCTCTATTCTCCGTGCTTCATTTTGATTCAAGCGAAACCCATTTTCGGATTCTTGTAAATTTCACCTATTTCTTCGGGTTAGATCACATCATTTACGATCCCGTGATTCATCCGAATCTGATCTTTGTCTTGTGGGTTGCTTGCTGTTACGATGATTTGGGTTTTAACGCTGGCAGTTGTTTTTTCTGAATTCCTGGAGATTCAAAATTTCAAACCAAGTTGTTGTTTTCAGTCTTAGTTAAGTTTCTATTTTTGGGTGTTATGGATGGGTGGCAATAGTTCATCTAATTCTGGGGATTGGGTGGTGTTTCAGCGAAAAGCATTCACTTTCTGGTCAGGATTTCAGTTTTGTGAATATAGAGTGGGGTTATAGAATAAGCAAGGAGTGCTAAATTAAAAAGCCCCTGGAGGGGGAAAAAGGAGTAAAAGAATAAGTAAAGATTAAATTGACGTGAGCATCTACTTTTACTATAAGCAAGAATTTTGAAGTAATTGACAAGTAGCTTTGCATCTAGTGGAGGAAACTTTGCATCTAGTGGAGGAAACAAAAGGAAACATTTAGTTTACTGTAGCTGAATTCTAATCTGCTTGAGTTTGGGTTTTTTAAAAGTCCCCTGCAAGTTAGTTCATCAATTCTTGAACTAATTTTGGCTCATCAACCGCTAAACCTTTGAGAATCATTAAACTTATTCCAACCCTCGCCCGTTCCTTTTACTGTCTAAACCGATTTGAGATTAACCTTCGTCTGTCTGCTGCAGAGGTTATGTGTACATTCCAGTGTCAAGTGTTTGGGATTGAAGTTCTCTATAATGTTTCTTCTGTAATAGCTGCAGCAAAAAAGTTATTCTTTGATTATATATTTAAAAATGTCGAGGAGAGGAGAAATATGCTGAAAACTCGTGTCTTTCTTGCTAATAGTCCTTTGCCGATATTGTCAACCTGACCTTGTCATAACATAAGAAAATAGCGTGTTGTTATCTGAGTCCATGATTGATCATCCTGTAATGATAGAGTTGCTTTACTCTTTAAAATAATCAAATATGTAATTCTATAAGGGAAAAGCATTATGGTATTGATAGGCATCATATATTATGCTTCACCTTCCTTTGGTGGTGTGAGAACTAAGTTGAAATGATCAATTTATTTCTTAATGATATGACGCATCCTGCTTGACAAGAAGGAAGCGTGAAAGTTGTAGTGTATGATGCAAAAGATGTTAATAAATAAGAAAGACTATGGTAAAGTGGAGATAATTTTCTTTCAGCATTAAGTGTAGCAGTCAGTGGGTTATATCTTATTTTTGTTATCAGAAATCATATTGTACTTATGGTTGTACTCTAGGGTTTGAAACATGATTCTTGCTTAAGATGAATGATAGATTATAACCACGATTAGGTTTCAATAATGTGGTATTCACAGTCATCACAACAGTATGCTTATAAAATTAGAGTTTGAGGTTAGATGCTCAAGTAAATTTTGATTTTAGGTCAAATTTCTAATACCCGATTGACAATATGCTCGTAAGAAACGGATGATTTGTGGTATAAGGAAGCTTTATATAATGTGGTACTCTTAATTTCTGATATTCAGTTTAGCCTAGAAAGTTGACTCTTCTAAGCAAGATAGTTAAATATTGTGTTGATTTTATTATTCTTCCCATACTTTACATGCTACATCCCACTCTCTAGGTGCCAGATTGAACATTGATTGATATGAACATCAACGCTCATTTAAAAAATTTTAATCAAGACTTTTATTTGTTTACTAATACAAAAATGTTATTTCTGACATAAGTGGCAGTTGAAGACCGTGAGAGCTACAATGAGTCTGGCATGTCTTGTGTGCCATAGTGTGGAAAGTCCATCACCCTCGCACTCTTTTAGAAGTTCTGTTTCTAGTTCAGAAAATGAAGGAAGATGTTATGCTATTGCTAGCTGCTTAACTAAGAAATTATCTGTTCAACCCCCTACAACACACTTGTTTCATGCATCATCTTCATCCAAAGTTACCCCGCAACCTACTGTTTCCTGTAACAGTGAGATACCTGGTAATCCACGGCTTGTACGAAGTTGTGCTGTGAGGAGGGACCAAGTGCAAGATTGGAATTTTGATGAGGTTGCAATGGCTTAGTCAACTATATGCGGTAGAAGAACACTAAGACTTTTCTTGCGGGATAGTTTTTCTTTCTTTTTATTCTTTTTTTTTCTTTCACTTTTTGGAAATTTCTTGTGGATTAGTTTAGAGGGAGCATGACATTGCTATCTGGCTACCTAAATTTTGTAATGGGTTCAACTAAACTCTCTCCAGTTTTCTTTTCTTGTAAGAGAGTTAAAACATTTGTGACTCTCAGCAAATTTTGATGCAAGACATTGTTTCTATTTTTCTTGGCATTTTTCTTCTGGTTTACGACTTCCAAATTTAAAATTTAAAAAGTAATATCTACCAAGGTTTATGAACAAACCCAAGTACAGAAAAATTGGTTTGCATTGTGTATCATTTGCTTTTCCACCTCATTATAGTACTATTATATTGCTTCCCTGTCTTCATCATGTTAGAGAAGTTATGTTATTACACCATGAGACTCGCAACTACATTTTGTGAAGTTAAATCTGATAACTTTTATGGAAGATTTTATTGAAAAAGAAAATTGAATGATATTTCATAAATAATCTTGCAGTGAACCGTAAGTTTCTTCATAGTTGAATGCAATGTGTGCAGTCAAAAGGGGCTGAGTATTTATCTATCAAATTATATCATCGATTTCAAATCCATTTTCTAGTGGCTTTTTGTGTTCTTATGTATGGTTGTCTGTAAAGACCGGCTCACATTCTCATCAATATGTTTTTCTCGGATCTCCCCTATATCATGCTCTTCCCCATCTCACTATAATCCTACACTTTGTGTTTAACCAATTTTATTATACAATTCTCATTTAAAAAAAAAAGATAAAAAGATAAGAGCACAACAACCTACATACATTTACATTTGTATAATTTCTAACATTTAATTATAGTTGATTCTATATTTTAAATTCTAATTTGTTTTTTACACACTTTAGAATAGCGTCACATATATCAAATGTGAGATGATATATTTCTTCTATGCTTGGAAGAAGCATTTTTCTTATAAAAATTATCAGTCATTTTTCACTCATAAATCAATCAAGATTTGATTTGTTTTTTTATAAAATTATTTATAAAACTAAAATATAGGGATTAAAAAAAAAAAAAAAAAAAAAACTCAACATTTATTTATTTCTGAAACTGCATAGTGCATATAGCTTCTTCAGTGAAAAGCACTGACGCTAAACTACCAAAAAAAGAAAAGCAGTTACGCTGAATCACATCACAGAGACAAGAAGCAAAGAAAACAAATCAATGCCTGTGATTGTGAAGAACAACAACAATGGTCCCTTCTCTGTTCCCAAACTATTCGTCGTGTTCACCCTTCTCTCCATTCTCTCTCTCGCTTTCTTCTTCTCGACCTCCACCACCAACACCAACATCAACACCTCACACCCTTCTCTTTCTCTCCAATCTTCCACCGATTCAAGCATCAACGTTTACGTGGCTGAGCTTCCCAGATCCGTCAATTACGGTCTCCTCAACCGCTACTGGTCCTTCGGCACCGATTCCCGACTCGGCAGCGACTCGGATCGCGAGATTCGATCGAACAATTTGGGGAAAACCCTAGAATTCCCTCCATATCCCGAGAACCCACTGATCAAGCAGTACAGCGCCGAGTACTGGATCATGGGGGATTTGATGACCCCTCCCAAACTGCGAACTGGGTCCATTGCAAAACGGGTTCTTGACGCACGTGACGCCCACGTGGTCTTCGTGCCCTTCTTTGCCACTGTCAGTGCGGAAATGCAACTCGGTATGGCAAAAGGGGTGTTCAGGAAGAAGGTTGGGAACGAGGATTACCATAGGCAGAGGGAGGTCATGGATTTTCTGAAGAAAACCAAAGCTTGGAAGCGTTCTGGTGGCCGAGATCACGTGTTTGTGCTCACTGGTATGTTATGTTCTCTTTGCTTGCAAGTTTGTTTGTGTTATTGTTAAGGTTGTAGTTAATTGTGAATTTTAATGTAGAGGTGTCAGTGAAATGTGATTTAATGATGTTATTTGGAGTGCTTTCTGTTGATTTAAATTGTCTGAGTTTTTTGTTTCAAAAAAAAAAAAATTGTCTTAGTTTTTTGCACGTGATGAGTATGGATTCGAAATGAACAAAAATTTCGAGGAAAGAAGGTTGAAAGTGTTCATTTAATTGCACCGTATCTTTGCTGGAATAAGTTTTTTGTTACCCGTCTCCAAATATTGTGTTCTCTTAGAAGTCTAATGCACTTAGGATGAGAAGTTTGATCTGCATAAATAGGTAGAGGTAGTCCTGCTTCTATCTTTTTGCTTTTGATGCTTGAGTGTCTGGCTGCATGTCTTGAAAATTGATTTATGTTGACCATGATGGTTTTGGCACAACAATAAGATTAAGTGGATAACGTAATGCATATCTAGAAATGAAAAAGGAGAAAATTCCGAGGCATGCTGTTACGAGCTTATGATTTAGTCTTTGAATTGTCAGGTTATGTTAAAACTGAAGCATTCTTTGGCAGACCCAGTCGCAATGTGGCATGTTAAAGATGAGATCGCCCCAGCTATTCTCCTTGTCGTGGATTTTGGTGGTTGGTACAGACTTGACTCAAAATCATCCAACTGTAGCTCATCTGATATGATTCAACACACCCAAGTTTCGGTACTTAAAGATGTGATTGTGCCATACACAAATCTACTTCCCAGGTTGCACTTGTCAGAAAACCAGGAGCGCCACCACCTACTGTATTTTAAAGGAGCTAAGCATCGGCACCGGGTCAGTATTGTTTCTTTTTGGACTAGCTGTGCTTACTTTTTTTTTGCCCCCCTCAAATTTTGCAAACTTTACCCTAGCATCTCTAATTTTTTATTCTTTGACTACTCTGTCCTTTTTGAGTTATCAAATTTGTTGAGTGACTGTTATTCTTTTTGTCTCGTTGTTCTTGTTCCTTGAGGATTTTTCATATCAGACACCTCTGTTATCAGCTGAACTTAGCATATAATCTTTATTTTTATGGCTTAATACTATATTCAAATTTCCCTTGGTGAGGCTGAAGACCATTTGGGTCCAAACTAAGATGTATGTGTGTGTCTCCAATTATAAAAATAAAAGAAAAATTGCATGGACCATATCTATTATTTGGTTGCCCACAGAACCAATCCTTGTGTATTTGGAGGCAAAATAGTCTCCCTTCTTTCTTTCTCTTACTATAAGACACTCTCCTCATGTTTTGCACAAAGCACATGCCTTGTAATAAGAATTTATCATTTTAGTGTCCCCATCCCCAAAACAATTTATTCAATTATTTGGTCACTTCCTATGCTTCTTACATTTGAATTCGATGATACCTGTGATATTACTCTCTTCCTGTCCTCTTAACAGAAGGGGGTTATTATGCCACTAGATGTAGATCATCGCTTACAGTACAAGTTTTCTAATATAATGCTTGATTTTAATAGCAATATGAGCATTATGGTTTTGACTTTTTTTCATATATCATTTCACAGATGTACAGGAAGTGTTAATCATATCCACTATCTGGGAAAATAGGGTTCTTGAAATTTAATGACATTTTGATTTACTGAAAAATCAGTTAGCGGGAAGTAACAATTGTATGGTTTGCCTTTGAGAAAATTTCCTGCCTCACATATCGGACCTTACTTTTTGACACTACAGAGTTATTTATTTGTGCATGAGTCAATTATTTAAAAGCCTATGAGAATCCATCTCAGATGTTTACAACTGTTTTAGGATCAAAGTTATTAATAAATTAAGGATTGATTAGACCTGTGAAATTAACTTGCGGAATATATATCTAATTATGTAATCAAATTTTATTCGTTGCTATCTTCATGTTGAAGACTGTGGATTTACCTTGACACATTTCATTGTATAAAAAGCCTATAGCATGATGTTGATGGTAAATGTTTGACATCCTTGTGGTGAATTCTCTGCTTTTTTCTATTGGTCTAATATGTGATTTAAGCTAAATCTGTTCCAGCTCTCAAGAGCACTGGAAGGTCAATTCCAGTTTGTGTTTTATTGTAAATAGATACTGATGATTTATTTATATCCCTATCCAACAAACGTATGATTATGCTGATACTTGGAGTTGTGAAAAACTAATGCAATATCTGTTTCATGCTTATCTCATTGACAAACTATTCAATTTACAGGGAGGCCTAGTTAGACAGAAGTTATGGGATCTATTGATTAATGAGCCTGGTGTTGTAATGGAGGAAGGCTTCCCTAATGCCACTGGGCGAGAGCAATCAATAAGAGGGATGAGAACATCAGAGTTTTGCCTCCATCCAGCCGGGGATACGCCCACTTCATGCCGACTATTTGATGCCATTCAAAGTCTTTGTATACCTGTTATTGTCAGTGACAACATTGAGCTCCCATTTGAAGGTATGGTGGATTATTCAGAATTTTCAGTTTTTGTGGCAGTTGATGATGCACTGAAACCAAGCTGGCTAGTGAATCATATTCAAAGATTTTCAAAGGAGCAGAAGGACAGGTTCCGCCAAAATATGGCTGGAGTACAGGCCATCTTTGTGTATGATAATGGTCATCCTGGTGGAATTGGACCAATACCTGTGGATGGTGCAGTGAATCATATATGGAAGAAAGTTCACCAAAAACTGCCAGCGATACAAGAAGCCATAATTCGAGAGAAAAGAAAACCACCTGGTGTTTCGGTTCCACGTCGTTGTCATTGTACTTGAATTTAACTGGTTATTTCTGTTTCTCTTCTTTCAAAGGAGCAGTGATATGGGTTAATATCTGGTTAAATTTAGCTCCATAATGGCGATTTATTTTTTTACTTAGAGAGAGAGAGAGAGAGAGAGAGGGGTTCTTAGATTGTGGATGCTTACGTGAATGGTATAGGAGAAATTAGTTTCGTTTTCACTTCATTCTCTTTGCACCTGAATTGATATGTTTCCATGTTTTTCTGTGTCGTAGTCTGATAGCTTTACGACAGGGAAATATTGATTTACAAATTTGTTACTGTTTACTGTTTGTTCGAGTTGCCAATTTCTCTCTAAAAAAATTTCTCTGCTAGGGAGGGGGTGATGTTCAATTTATCAAACTTTTAAATGGACTTGTGTACGGCTGAAAATATAGGGAAGCCCAACAAAAAAAAAATTGAGTGATAAAGTTCCCCTCATAGGAATGAGTTTTTAAGTGAAAATTTTGCAAGTGAAAAGATTTTGTTTGAAGAGAAGTGTATAAGTGGAACTCATGAAAATTGAATGATGTAGCTATATCTTAATTAAGAATAAGTTAATTGATTAGGAATAGGTTAAATGAAAGTATAAGTAAAACAACTTGTAGATTCATTGTTTTGAAGTTTTGGGGATATTAGTGTCAAGTTAATTATTGGGGATTTAATGCTAGGTTTATTATTGTGGTTTTCTTGGGACAATTGAGCCCTTAGAAGACTTTTCCCAAGTAAACGAGGGCGTGTAGGTTACTCTGGGATATTGATACAAGTTACACAAATCTCTGATTACATAGGTGAAAATCAGGTCTCTAATTCTGCATGGTCTATGCAGAAACTCGGAGTGTTTCAATGTAGAGTAAATGGGATCCGGCTGCAGCAAGAAAGGATAGCCAATTCCTTTTCTCTTTGAAGGAAACACTACAAAAAAATCTGCTCACTACAAAATCAACCACAAGGGGAAGAGTGTTGGTCACCTTTCTGGGCATTCCTGTGTCACATCATCAAAGTGTAATCCTGCTAAAAGCAAGAAAAGAGAGCAAGGATAATGATGCATGGAATTGATCAACCCATTTAGCCTGTATTCTGATGGCACACATAGTTTCTTCTTGCCACCATAGAAAGTCCATATCCCTCTGAATGTTGCCACCTTATAATAAACCTGCCTTCTGAAGGCGTCAGTGAAGGTGAATAAGACACAAGAAACTGCCAAGATAAATAGAAAAGTGCCCATCAACAAGCGATTCAGTGTGCTACATTCACCATCATTGGTTAGAATAGGTGCAAAAATGCTGAAGGCAAGTGTGGTGACTATGGGTAAAAGAACATTGAGCCTAGCAGTACCACTCAGTATTGCATTGATAACAAAGAAGTAGTAATATTCATCCATGTCATAATCATCAATATTATAATAATCATCCTCATTCTGTTCATAATAAACAAACCATGTCTTTGGCTGGTCGAGTAGTTCAACACCATAAAACAGCTATCAGAAATCCAAAACAAAGAGGCTACAAGAGATGTGTGGAAGAGGAAGCTTGTGCTAGTCCTTAAGTGCATGTGTGATAAGCATATATTCAATATCCAAGTAAAGGAAAAAAGCTGTTCTATGTGTTTCTATACTTTTTTTTTTTTTAGGTTCCTTCCTTTTAAAATGAAAATTCTTGTAGGAATATTCTTTTCCTTTTACAGCAAAAACTTTTCACCGGAATTTGCTTTCAACTTGGGCAATGTTTTTTCTTTCACTTGTTTACAGAAGAAGGATTCTGCAACATAATTTAGTATGGAGAAATGGTGGATAAAACTGGGAAGGCATTCCCTTCTTTTCGCACCCTACTCTTCATCATAGTTTATTTGTATATAAACAATGTGATTATTTCGGATGATTACGCAATGTATCCTATATATTATGGAGTTTGGAGGGATTTATACTCAGAAAATGCCATGTGTACAATTGTAAATAAATTTCGTAAAGATTACTTTCCTTCTTATTTTATTCAAATGATTCTTCAAAAAATAAAATATTTTATTTTAATTAGTATTTTTATTTTATTAGATACCATATATGAGACTCCAAATTATTTGAAACTTCAAATGTAATAATGCTGGCATAGGGAAATGTTAACCTGATTGCCATTTAATATAGCCTGAATAAGTTTACTTAATTGAAATATATATAAGATTTTGAACATAATTGATGTTTTTTAATAATAAAATTATTGAATTTTAGCTCAAAAATTCATGAAATTTAACATAATCCAATTTAAGTTTTGTATTTGGTCCTGGGCCTCGTCATAAAAATTAAAGAGACCAAGGAATAACCGGCTCAAATCTCTAATTAAAAAAATTAAATTTAAATTAAAACAAAACATTTTAAACAAAAGTTAAGGATTTTCCCACAAGTTTTGGCATAAGGGCTATTAGAATGGATGAAGAATATAAGGATTTTTGATTAATTTATTTTTTTGTTTCATACACCTTTTTTGAAGTCTCTGTAGATAAAATCCCTTCTAAAAATTATCCAACTTATGTTTTGATTTGGCATTGATTACCTATCATTTCTTAATGTATAGTATACCTCTCTAATGGATTTCTTTAGGTTGGAATTTAAATTATCATGTCACATGCCACCAAAGAAAATTTGCATTTAATGGAAATCACCAAATTCACTCCTTGACACCATGTTTTTTTGTTTTCTTTTAAATTATAATATTACTATTTTTTAGTCGCATCATAAATGATAAAATAATTACGCATGAATAAAAATATTATGAATCAAACCTCATGATCAAAGCATGTATCTGAACCGAAGTTACAAGAGAAAGATGTGAGCATTTTTTTTGAATCATGAGATTATTATTTCTTAAGTCACCTAGCAATGATAAAATACATTATATAGGAACAAAATTATCATGTATCAAATCTCATAACCAAACTACACAATAAGGCGAGCTTTAGCACAGTAAGAATAAAAAAAAAATTGAGATTTTGGAGTAAATCAAAATATAAAAATATTATGACCACTTGGTGACTATCTCACTTATAGTCATCAAGGGGTAATGGGAAGTGTGTAGGTACTAGATCTTGTCTCAGCCTTTGCAATCACCAAGTGAAGACCGACTATAAATGTAGAATATATATGGGTTCCAAGAAACCTTCATCCTAATCAGAATGAGTTTTAGGTTTCTTAGACTCTTCTTATACACTAGACCACCCTAATAGGCTGAAAAAGCAAAACCCAACAAGGAGAAGAGAAAAAAACTTAAAGGTAGAAGCGGGAGATGTCATTTTTATTTTTTATTTTTTGAGAGAGAGGGTTGAAAGTGGTGAATGAAAAAAAGAAAAACTGAAAAAGTGATTCTCGTTTTGTGCCCTGGCAAATTTGTTCCTATTTTTTTATTTCCCAGCACAAAAATTAAACTGGTTCATCTTGGGAACCAAACAAAAAATCAGTTTTAACAAAAAATTTCGTCTTTCTTTTGAGTTCTTTTAAAATAGGATAAAAAAATGAAAGCCGATCTCGGGGATAACCAGTAAAAGGCAATTCTACTTCCACAAATTGTTAAAAAACAAAAGTTATTTTTTTTCATTGGTTTTTTTTTTTCCTTTTCCAAGGATTCTAGATTGGATCGATGCCAAGGTTTAAGACGAAAAGGGAATAAGATCTTTATCTAAATACCATCTGTTAGCCATTTTTTTGGAAGAATTTTCGTGTTGTTGATTCCTAAACGTAGTGCTTCTTCCTCCGTGCTGCCTATTGGTAGTAATGGTGTAGGGTTGGGCTAACTCCATAGGTATAGGTATAACCTTTCGCTTAATAGTATAAACTTAAAATTGAAGCATATCAGGCTGCATTAATCGGGGATACACGACAGAGTGAATTCATCGTTTTATTTACAAATGTCACCCCCAGCAAATGTAGGTTTTTTTTTTCAATTTTTTTCTTCCTCTCCGAAGAATGTTTCTTTCTCCTACGACTGAGGTTGGTAAAACAAAAAAAGAATCAATTCGCACCATCTCTATAATAAGGGATTAGCTACAGCATTGCACGGGTCGATACGCACAGCGCCTAGTATCCATCGTTTACGGCTAGGACTACTGGGGTATCTAATCTCATTCGCTCCCCTAGCTTTTGTCTCTCAGTGTGGACGAATTTTCAATGTACTTGGAGAGCCTATTGATAATTTAGGTCCTATAGATACTCGCACAACATCTCCTATTCATAGATCCGCGCCCGCCTTTATACGGTTAGATACAAAATTATCCATTTTTGAAACAGGAATTAAAGTAGTAGATCTTTTAGCTCCTTATCGTCGTGGAAGAAAAATAGGACTTTTCAGTGGAGCTGGGGTGGGTAAAACAGTACTCATTATGGAATTGATCAATAACAATGCCAAAGCTCATGGAGGTGTATCTGTATTTGGTGGGGATGGTGAGCGGACTCGTGAGGGAAATGATCTTTATATGGAAATGAAAGAATCTGGGGTAATTAACGAAAAAAAATTGCGGAATCCAAAGTAGCTCTAGTATATGGTCAAATGAATGAACCACCCGGAGCTCGTATGAGAGTTGGTTTAACTGCCCTAACTATGGCGGAATATTTTCGCGATGTCAATGAACAAGATGTACTTCTATTTATCGACAATATCTTCTGCGTCGTCCAAGAACGACGTTCCGCGGAATATATGACTCAAGCTCCTTTAGGTTCTTTAAATTCTGTGGGTGGCGTAGCTACAGAGATCAATGCAGTCAATTATATCTCTCCCAGAAGTTGGTTAGCTCCTTCTCATTTTGTCCTAGGATTCTTCCTATTCGTAGGTCATTTATGGCACACGGGAAGAGCCCGCGCAGCTGCGGCAGGATTTGAAAAAAGAATTGATCGAGATTTTGAACACGTTCTTTCCATGACACCTCTTAATTAAAACAAGAAATCTAGTGTTGGAACTAGGAATTTTTTGAATTTCACCATACGCATTGGATTGAGTCAAGCAGGTAGGTCATATTGAAAAAGTCTTTTCTTTTCCCTTTTTTCAACTCATTTATATTTATTATCTAATCTTTTTTCTCTGTTTCTGTTCCCGAGAAACAGAAATTTAAAAAAAAAAAAGATTCTTAAATAATTGTCATGCACACCCGAATGTCATCACATTTTTTTTTTTTGAATTTTTTATCCACTTCTTAATTACTATAGAAACAAAAATGAAATGTAAAATTCTTGAACAGTATGTCCCTTTCGAATGCGGAATCCCGTTAAATCGAATTCTTATTATTAATTCTTTATTATTTTTAGTGAAAAGAATATCCTGAAATTCATAAGGGAGACCGTCCGATTTGATTCATACTCGATAGTCACGAGATGGTTATCTTAGGGTGATCCTTTTGTCACAGATGCTCCTATTGTACTCGTAGTCTCTGAAAGGTGAGAACCAACTATGTAGCATCTACATCGAATTCAAGCATTGTCTACGACGTTTGCCCGATCCTTTCTAAGAACTACCCGTAATAAAATAAATCTTTTTTCTCATAAAGGTAAGAATTAGATCAAATGGAATAAAGGTGTGAGTATGTAAGGTAATTTGTCTTAATTCTAGGGCGTGGCTAGCGAAAATTAATTTTTGGAGACAAACAAATTGGTAAAACAGCATTAGCCACCGATACGATTTTCAATCAATAGGGACAAAATGTAATATGTGTTTAGTATCTAGTTGTTGGCCAAAAGGCATTTTTTGTGGCTCAATTGGTGACTACTTTACAAGAAAGGGGACCGATGGAATACTCTATTGTGGTAGCCAAAACGGCAGATTCTCCAGCCACATTACAATATCTCGCCCCTTATACAAGAACAACTTTGGCTGAAAATTTTTATGTACCGGGAACGCCACACTTTAATCATTTATGACGATCCTCCAAACAAGTACAGGCTTGTCACCAAATGTCTCTTCCATTACAAAGACTATCAGGTCGCAAACATAAAGATAAAGTAATTTTCATTCGTCCTATTTTCAGGATTCTTACAAAATATCACGGGAGAACCATAAGTTCAAATTAATTTATTTTTTTATATTTATTGTTAAAAATTATTTTTTAAAAAAATCATTTTTTAAAATAATAATACTTTCTCTTAAATAATGATTTTTTTAAGTTTCATTTTTGAAATATTAAAAAAAATAACAGTGAAAAATAATAAATAATTTAATTCTGCTGGATAAAGACTTAACACAAATTAAACTCCAGGTTCGAGTTTAAAATTTCATGAGTGGTTCTGTTTACAATTAATGAGCAAAACTCAGATTTGACGAGTGAGATTTGCAGAATTGATTCGTGAAATTTATTTTTTATATTTAATTGGGGAAGGATATTGTGACAATCAAGTTGTGTTACTACCAAGTGACTACCAATCAATCTTACCGTTAGATCGATTATATTGATCCAACGGTTATATTTATTTCCATCTTTGTATGGTCATGATTCCCCAAATTTAATATTTTATATTTATTTTCATCTTTGTATGGTTATGATGACCATAAAAAAATGGAAATAAATATAACCGTTGGATCAACATAATCGATCTAACGGTGAGATTGATTGGTAGTCACTTGGTTGTCACAATATCCTTCCCCTAATTAATTATCGTTGCAACAATCATTTTATTAAAATTTTAAAATGAAGATTTCACAATTTATCTATTTTAAACCTGTCTCAAGAAAATTCAATTCAAAATATTTTTTTATCAATTTCATGCAAGATTGACAACACTTCAAATAACTTGAACTTTCAAAATAATAATGCTGGAATATGAAAATGATACCTTATTTTGCATTTAAAAAATTCTGAATAAATTTGCATAAAGTGAAATATGTGTAAGATTTTTGAACATAAATTAATATTTTAAAAAATAGATAAAATTTAACCTTGTCCATTCTAAATTTTGTATATGGTTCCGGGCACCAAAGAATGATTGGATCAAATATCTAATTAAAAATAATTTATTTAAAATTAAAAATTTCACATAATATTTGGCATAAGGATTATAAGAATGGATGTAGAATATAAAACTTTTACTGAAGAATAATAATAATAATAATAATAATAATAATAATAATGATAAAAGTTTTTTCTTCCGGACACTATTTCGAAGCGTAGATAAACTCTTATCTCTGTTTTTATTTGGCATCGATTACCTTTCATTGTCTAGTGCATAATTCACTCGTCCATCTGGTATTCTTCAAGTTAGATTTGAAACTGAGATACCACGTGCCACCTAAGAAGTTTTCTAAAGCTATTCCATGAACTCCTCAATTAGTTGTGACGTAAATTAAACAAAAATAAATCACTTTCATAGATTTACAAAATATTATAAAAAGATTGAAATGAACATATTTCCCCTTACCACTATCTCAAGAGCTACTCACAACTGGGAAGGTTTAATAAATTAATTTTTAAAAGAAAATGTTATACAGACAAAAAAAAAAATATTTTTAGGGAAAAATATTTTTCAATAAATAAAATTATCTTATACAACCTCAAAATGATATCATTTTAAAGTACAGGGAAAAAAAAATATAAGATATTTTAAAAAAATTCTTTCATTTTGTATTATAAATTGAGTTTTATATTGGTCATGTTACAAGAAATTAATTCTATCATGCTACAAACACAGCAACTAGTAGAGCCCACCACTTTTAAAAGAAAAAATACACATTTCAAAGGGTCAGGAATAGAAACTACTATCCTATTACATAACACTAGTTTTTCCCTTATAAATTTTACTAAAACGCTCCACATTTTTTTCAAATCCCAAAACGAAGTCATGGAAATAACTTTATCTCATACCACAGAAAATATATTAAACCCATTATTTTATACAATAAGTTGACATACTTAAGGACTCTTAAATAAATAATTAGTTCCTACTTCTTATCTCTTTATCTCTATGTAACAACTACCATTGGATCTAGCATATTTCTACAAAAAAAAAAAAAAGTTATGCGCAACACTACTCTTTAAAGAAATAATAATAACAAGGTGATAAGGAAAAACAAATAAATTCAAAGCATATGCTTTTACTCTATAGTCTATATAGTAGAAGAGCATGACAACAAAGGAAGGGGGAGGTATATTTTGGCAAGCCAGCAACTGCACTTTTCATTGACTCAAAATAAACCTTTACATTTTTCCTTAGGCTTTACAAAAATACACTCATCTCATGCTAGATAGGATGGACCTGTATAAAAGACAACATCCCTAGAAATTCGCTAAAAATCGCAGAATAGCAGGGGTAGGTTTATAAACAATATTGACTGTCCTATATACAGTGCTAACTAGTTGCATAAATTTTAAATTTGAATAAATAATTTAAGAAATTTAAATCAAAAGATATGGGCAGAGAAACCATTTGGCACCCCTGTGCTATGGTTTTTGTTGGGAAGGGCCATCTTCCCCTGTGCCACAAAGTTTGCAAGGACTGGGGGATTTCTGTGAACACCAGTGATCTGGAACACTCAAAAAATGTGTAGACATAAACTTTCTGAACCTCTTCTTGTATTCTTTTGGAGAGATTACTGTTGGCAACACATTCTTGGGCACAACAAGTGAAGACTTCATCCATGTCTCAAGATGCTTGTCCCAGGTATACTGCCTCAGATAATCAATGATCCCACAAACCAGCTGGCCCTTCTCTGAGTCTACTCCAACAAGTAAGGAATAATCCATCACATTGATATTCTGCATATTGAGCAAACAATAAAATAAACTATGAGAGAGCTAGGAAAAAGTCAAAAACAAGAACAAATTTAAGGAAAATATGAAAACAAGGGCAACAATATGCATAATATATATTGTCTACTAAGAATTTAGGAACCAAACAACAGTCATGTACTAAGGGAGTAATTAGTAGGATGAACATGGGAGGAAAGAAGGGAAAGGTATCAGAAATTCCAGATGTTTGAAAATATAGATCAAGTTCAAATCAAGGGTCAGTTTTTGGTCCTTTCCCTTCTATTCCATCCTACCGAGTATCAACACAGAAATTGGTTCGGAGATGCAAGCCCACTGGTAAGAGAAAAACAAATTAAATAGAAGATTTCAATGAGAAAAGTTAGGCTAAAAGGCAGAATGCTTTTAATGCAGGCTTACATTGAGAAAAGCTGTGTCATTCCAAACAGCCCGTTGAAGAACACGCTTTGCTTTATGACTGACATAAAATGGAGAAGAGTTCATGTCATTCACGAAGTTCTGATCCAAAAGAACATCTCCAGCACCACCACCAGCAGAATTGTACCGGGCAAAAAGGGCACCTTTAAGATCATACTGGCGAGTAATATTTCGATTGTAGGTAAGATTTTCCATCACCATGAGATCATGTTTAACCTCTTTTCCATTTTTGATATGTCTTTTAGTAACCTACATAGAGATTGAAATGCTTAAAATTCCATGAAGCAAGACAATGAAACAGGAGAAAAAGTTAGGAAATGGCAACGAAAAAGATATGTATAAAACAGTACAACAACCTGATATATTCCCAAGACTTTAGCAAGACATGTCTGGCTCCCAGACTCAAATGACTCTCTCATGTGTTTGAAATACAGAGAAGAAAATCCCAAAAATGAATCAAGTTCTGTCTTCTTGATTTCCTTTATGATGAACCTGTCATCAAGTGTTTTTGCAAATAGAGACTTGCTTTTTCCACCTTTAGCTTCCCAATTCCTACAGCGGCTTAAAGAAGCGATATAATCAAGCTCAGATGGGCAACACCAATTCCTAAGTTCGCGGAACTGCTTAACAAAATGACAAATCACTGAATACTTTTCCCTCCCAAGTGATTTTGCATATCCCATAGCAATCTCTACACTATGGTGCTCTGCAGCACGAGAGGCTCGTGACTCTTCTGAAGAAGTGCTTCCTGTAGAAAGCACAGAATCTGAATCTGAAATACTTTCTGTTGATTTGGTAGCTATTCCACTTTCTCTTCTATCATCCTCGTTATCAACTCCTGTCACCTCAGAAGAATCTTTCAAGAAGGCCAGTGCACAAGCAATCATGCTCGAGGGTTCACAGTCGAAATCAGACACAATATGATTATCTGTCTTGAGAGGGACATGCAACCTTGCACCTTCCTCAGTGATTAATTGATTGGCTGTGGGCAGGTATTCTGTCATAGAGCTGCTTACAGATTCAAATTTCGGCAATATTTTTTTCTGAAACTCCCTTATACCTATCTGCCGAATGTCAGCAAATGGCTTCCAGAACCATTCATTTGAATCCAGAAAGGTGGAAACTGGTGAATGCAGTGAAGCACTCTTGTTTAATACCTTTAAATCAGCAACAGGAGGACCAGATTGAAAATCAGTAGAAACTGGAAAATTTTCATGTACTTGAAGATGATTTGATAAAACAAAATCCTTTTGCTGGAAATTACCATCTGCTGAAGGGACCTGAGTGAAAACATCTAGACTCAAGTTCAACTTTTGGTCAGAAGATCTCTTTGATCTCAAATCATCAACAATTGGTATCTTCACATTCTGTGGGAAATCAGAAGTATTAGATGGATCATCCTGTTCATTGCAATCTAGAAGGGGTCCACGAATAGGAATTTCCTTTATTGGGAGTTCATTTACTTCCATAGATGTGTCTGACATAACTTTTCCATTGGCAACCCCATTAACATTGCCATTTTGCATAACTTTCTCAGAGACATCAGATTCAATTCTTAAATGATCAGGCGAGTGTAATGAGTACAAGCGTCGATCCCACACACAGGATTCAATCAGAAGATCCCACATCAATCGGTTTAGCCAGAGAAGTTTGAAGGCAGTCCGGTCTGGATCCCCTTTATTAGCAACAGCAATCTTGATGTTTGCCTGTTATCATGACACAACAAGTCAGAGGAAGAGGACAGTAGTATTCATACTAATAGCAGTAAGCAAAGCTTTCATCAGGAGGAAAAACTTGAAATCAAAGAAATGAAAATCCAGAACTAATGTATCACATGCAACAAAATGAATCTTTCCACGTCGTATGTTACACTATAAATTAAATCTTGCCATTGGCGTTAAAACTTCTAATTAGAGCTTTAGTGCTAGCAATATCAAATTTTAACCTTACATAGTACTATCTCTCACTTTCATTCAATGCATTAGTATCGTGGTAACTTCCACTATTGTTAATTATTTAAGAGAAAAGTTTTCAATAATTGAAGGATAAAACATCAAACAGATGAATTGTGACACCAAATTTAAACTTCATAGCTAGAAAAAATATATTTAGGGCATGCAACTTTTAGAAGCACATTTCAAATTTCAACCAAGTTGATTCCATGCCACATTTCATGTAAAAAAACATGCACCAACAGAAAGCTAACCTCAAACTCTTCTTGCTCCAGCTTTAACATCTTCTCGACCTCAGAGAACTCTCTTATTGATCCTCCAAGGTTCAAGATTGATCCCTCAAATCGTATTGTCTTCAAATAGTTTGCGATTTCTGTGAAGAGTGAAACGCCTTTCATGTACACCTTACAATATATAAAAAAGAAGGTAATTTTAATGCAGGGAATGTATCAGAATTAGGAACATAACTACGCCAAACTCATTTATGTTGTATTTCAGCCAGTACAAATCAAAAAATATCTATATGAAAATAGCCTAATAGGGAACATACATTCTCAGTCTCTTTCAAAAGACACTCTTGTCTTATTGCACCACTGAACTCTAGCTTTTGAGGAGGCAAAGACACAGTATAAGTGGTTACAGAAGAATATCTGAACATTGCAGCCATGTGACCTAATCTGCATGATAAGGAAAAATACAATAAGACCCAACATAAATGCCACAAGATATGGACTCTTTAGAGAGCACAAGATGCAAATATGCACACTCAAGCACAGTAAGGTACATGGCCAAAAAAAAAGATTTGGTAGCACTTCAAATTTGTAATGGTCCAAAATGAAATCAACTAAATTTCATTTAATAGCCTAATGTAAAAAACCACTCCCCGTTAAACCCGACTAGCGAGTGTGGGGTGGAGGAAATCCTTATACGCAGCCTTACCTTTGCATAATTGCAAAGAGACTGTTTCCTGGATTCGAACTCATGACCTTTCAGTCATGAAGAAACAGTTTTACCACTACTCCAGTTCGCCCCCTTAAATTTACAATCATTAAATTTAGAATTCGAGGCAGACATGATACCATGTTAAATAATAAATTGAACGAAGTTAAAGCAACAACATAAAATAAATTCACAGCAGATTATACTATAGAAGGGATTAGTAGATCATATTACCCAAAGAAGTAGAGAAAATCACTATCAAGAGAATGGCCACAGCACAATTTTCTGCTAAAAGAATATTGAGAAAGGCTAAGTTCCAAAAATTTCCCAAACGATAGACTATGGGCAGTGGTAGATATCAACACTCTCTTTGTAGAACCAGACATGCATTTTCCACAACGGCTCCACATCCAAATTTTCCCTTCTGCCTCCCCAGGCAAACTTTTTTCCTGGGGCAATCGTTTAACTTGTATGGTAAGCTGTTTATTGTGATGAGCATAATAATAAAAGTGAGCTTCTGGCAACTCTTGACAGGTGTCACAAAGTCTTGTCTGTATATATAGCAATAACAATCAGTTAGAACTTGAACATAAAGCTAGTCCAACCTCAGTTTGCAGAGAAAATACACACATGCACACACACAAATATAGTTCGTATCAAATTATGTTGCATTTGAAAACTTCATTCCCAACATACTTGCTTATTCTAACAATACATTCATGAAATGAACTTATTTAGAATCATGTCCAGTCATGTAACAATTATCCCAAAAGCTTAATCTTTTAGATGAAGACACTATGAATGATTTTTATATTATATCTTGAGAGTCCTTTGGACTTGAAGCATGGACAATGCATAAGCCTGCCTACCTACCTACCTTGTGCTAGAATGCAATTTTTTTAATTAGAAGAATGGAGGGCAGCAAAGAACAAACTCTAGATCCGTAAAGGCTCAAATATAATGTCATGCAACCAACTATACGAAAAGCTTAGACTTTCAGGTGAAAACACGTGAATGGTTTTTATATTATATCCTAACATGCACTATATCATATGATTGCCATTAGTCAACTAGAAAAAGCAAAGAAGTAAGGGGATAAAAAAACCAATGAAAACCTGATTTAGCAGGTTATCCTGCAAAAACTTTCCAAGTGGAATATCAAAATTCTTGTAGAACATAATATGAGAAAAATGACTTTGCTGGCATACAGTCCCTCCTGAGGCATTCGTGCTAGACATCAAGACCAAAATACTCTGAGAATCCAACACTGCATTGATATCATCTTTACTTTGGAGTTCTTTTCTATCATGATCATCATCTTTACTTATATCCCCATTGGAATCTAAGCACACAGGCAAAGACAGGGATTGTCCATCAAGTAGCTTTACTTCATTAGAATGATATCCTGCGTCGATCCTGGTATTTTCATCTTCCTCCGGAGAGTCTAAAATAGAAATTGATCCATCTTCCTCCGGAGGTTTCCTTCCATTTAAGCCAAAGTATGCTGATAGAGACTGATAAGGAGCATAAGATGCAAAGGGAAAACTGTCCCCCATAACTTTCTTCAGAGAAGATGAAATAGCTGACAACCCAGAAAAGACAGCTGGATTATATGGTTCATAAGAAAATGGGGAAAACTGTTCCCATTCTAAGTTTAAATCATTGGTGCTTTTTTCCTGATGACCATTGCATATGGGGATATCAGTACTAACTGTTCCATTTTCAGCAGAAGACACGAGAGATGGAATGCTTGAATCAACGGATGCTGAATCCTGGGATTCTTGATTATTTGGCAAGATATGTGCTTCTTTCACAGCAGGAATTGTAGAGAACATTGCTTTCTGATCAGCAAGAAAGGAGGTCTCAAGGATTAAGTGATATGCCACGACAACTGCACACCGCATGACACATTTGATCTTCTTCAGTTCATCACTGTGTGATCCTTTAAGCAAAATCTGCAATTGCAGGTAATGCAGAAGTTAATAGCGCCCAAAACTCTAGATGAAAAATCATTTTCCGGAAGAAAAACCACAAACTACAACAACTTCATGGTCTCATAACAGAAGATAATAGTAGGAAAAATCAATAATACTTGACATCATACACCAATAGAAGCACAGGGTAGAGAATAAATATCTTGTAGGAGCAGTTTGGAAATAAGGAATTACATCTTAAGGTTAACTGACTACTAAACTGATAATAACCAAGCAAAAATTGTTCAAAATTTCCTGTGTGCCAAAGTCAGTGCCAATACTCCCCAGGCAATTAGAGCATACTTATACTTTGAAGTATCTATTCATTGAAAAATGAGAGTACGAGTAATATTCAATGTTTATCAAACATGCTACATCACATCAACAACCATATGATATGGAATTTATTTGCTTAAGTAGTGAAAACCAGCATCAGCATATATTTAACCAATGCTAATTCATTATTTAATATAACGTCATATACACGCGTAATATCATACTGTATCCACATCTGCATCCATGCTTCATATCATGCTAACTTCAACAAAAATAAAAACTTTGGACACCCAAGCCACGGATACTGAGTATTCAAGTATTCGTGCATGTGTGCTTTCAAATGTATTGCAAATAAAAAGAGGTTCCAAGTTACAAATAAAGGCATACCGTACAACCCAAACGTGTAGGACAGCCCTCAATGAACATCAAGGTCTTGATGGGCCTCTTTCCTCCTTCACCAGCACCAGCATGTTCCTCCACAATCTTCTCAAAATAAATAAAGTCACAGTATCTTAGCTTTTGACCGTTCAAATCATCACATGATAGAATTGGTGAACCAGTACAACGTGCAACTCTTTCCAGTCGATGAAGCTTCATATCAAGTACTAGTGTCATTCCCTTTGCTAAAATTGACTCTTGTATATCACGAGAAACAGTTTTCTCCACTAATATAACATTTGGATGGCACATTTCTATAAGATCCATTTTAGATTTTAGATAGTCTTTCTCCTGTTAGCAAGCAAATAATCAGCTAGATAATGGTGCGTCAATAAAGACAGAATCCAATCTAATTAAGTTACCTGGTCCATGGAGTCAAATGAAGACAGCCCATTCATAGAATGGCCAATCATGCCGCTTATCAGTAACAACCTTGGATTTTTGTACTTAGTTGGCATATGCTTGTGAGCAGCATGTTTTTTGAAGACCAAACCTTTGATAAGTTGACTGCAATACAAAGTATTTTCTTTTAAGACTTGCTACCATGACACATAAAATTGCTAGCTAAATATTTATAAGCTTAATTTCCATTGAAATGATTATGGGACAAGAAAGACTCCTACAAGTTACAAAAGTAGCAAGAGATTACCGAAGTGAAACCTATTGCTAAAGGAAAAGCTCAACAATAATAGAACTCTATATGCAGTTAAATAAAAAAATAAATATATATACATATATATATATTCTTAAAAAGATAAGAGGAAAAACATCTTGATAATCACATAATACAATATGAAGGATTCTGAAAAACATAAACATATCATCATAAAACCATTATGTATTTTAAATGAAAATTCTATTCAAGTAAAAAGACCATCATGTCCCAACTAGTAAGTATGAGTTCATTCAAATAAGTAAAACAACCAGAAAGTAAATTCTTACTGAAGGAACTATTTTTACCTTTGGCTGCGAGAACCAGCTGCAATGCATTTCATTTTAACATATCTATCAGGATTACCTCCAATAGCATCCGGCTTCAAAAAAGAAGCAGCTTCCCAAGATAAGGATGTAACTATGTCCACCCAACTCTTATCACCTTCATCAGAAGACGAAACACCCACAGATATAAGAAGCTGACCTACAATTTCCTTGAATTTCCCATTCATTACTTCTTCCATTGCTCTTTGTTTTTCCTCTTTGAACCTATAGCAGCTCCCACTTAATTCATCCTTAGAACTACTCATAGATGTTGGCTCGCCCCAGTTTGCAATCTCAACTCCCTGGTCTTCATCATCATCATCGCAAGTCACACTATCATCCATATCATCCTGTGGGTTTTCTGGCTCAGGAGGTTCCCAAGTTTGGATATCCAAATCATAAGGAAGAGAATATTCAGTTTCTTCGACAGAGGATGCAGTAGGATCTTCAGAACCATCAACTTTTGCTTCTTGAAAGTTATGTCCTTGTCCAATCTCCACATCTCTCACTGTATAACCCTCATTGTCATTATTGTTTTCTTGGAAATTGTTTTCCATTACTTCTTGGGATTTCCCATTCAACTTATGATCAAGATCTTCCATAACACCTTCATCTGTACTTTCTTCTCGACTATTCCTAATAGAAAAAACAAAAAAAGTATTTGAGCATAGCTAAATTAAGCATCATACTCACATCTGTATGGACGTAAGTACCTGTTACATGAGTTCACATCGACGGAAAACTCACCTGAAAGATCAGATATTGAAGAAAGACAGGGTTAGAAAAAGACCATTTTGCAATATAAAACTAACATCATCAACATTACTAAATAAAGACAGGGGATAGTAATTTACTGCAAGTGGAGACGCAGCTATCAGTACTTGACAATGATGTAACTGGACTGATATGGGTTGTCGCATAGGGACTTGTACTATGCCATTTCACATTTTCTTGTTGTAGCTTCTCTCCACAAAATTTACAAGGTCTTAAGGGAACTTTACCATTCAATTTTAAACTACTGTCATTTTCCTGTTTCCTGTTGTCATCATTTGATTCCATCACGTCTGCACCGCAATAATGGCACATACTACACATCTGATCCAACACTTTATTAAAAAGAGGCCTGATTCAATAAAAGGTATATTAGTACTGAATGAGTTCTGAAATTCTTTTCCTCTTTATTGAACTAATTCATAAAAATTCAGTAAAATTCAAAATCTTAATATTCCTATTCCGTTATAAAGACCAAATAGAATAACCAAATCCTCCAAACCAAAAAAGAAATTATACATGTATGATATTCAATTTCAGTTTGCTTTTCCCTTCTGACTAAAGTAATATTTATCAAACACTACATATTCAAATTAAAATGTCTACATAAACAAAAAGAACCATTGCGTGTAATGAATGAAACAGAAAGAAGAAAATGAATCATCTACCTGAATAGCAGCCAAAATACACAATAACAATCAATGACAAACAGAATAAGAATAATAAAAGAATCAAACAACTGCTTTAAGATCCTACATGTTTCATGGAGTATAAGAAGCTTATAGAAATCATTACCTATGCTAAATACTTTATTTTGCGAAAAATATTTTCACCAAGAGAGAGGAAAGAAAACTTGGTTTTCAACAAAAGGATTAAGAAGATAGAATGAAAAAGAAAATATAGCTAGTCTAGAAAACAGTACACAAATGAATTATCAATTACGGTGGTTTGTTAGTGATATTAATTCCCAAACAAATACCAACAACAGAAATACAAGATCAAAAGAATTAGTACAAAAAGCTCAACAAATGAGAAGAGTCGGATTCATTAACCACATGGAAACTAAAATACAAGACAGTATAAAACTCAACCAAGTGCTACAATTGCAGATTTAAAACGTCTTCAAGTATTTTTTTCTTAATTTTTACCAAAACCATGGTAAAAAATTGACTTCAGATACACATTCTCTCATGCCAACAACACAAACAATAAATAAATAAATAAATAAATAACTCAGGATTGAGAACCCTAAATTTTGAATTGGAACCTTTAAGGTGGCAAACACTCACAACAGCTAGACATAGCTTGCAAACAGTGAAAATAGATCAGATATCAAAGCAGAAAGAAATGCATTTCAAGAAGGGAACCCACATAAGACTGATCTACAAAATTGGATTAAGCCCTCAGTTAAATCTTCTGTTTTCAATACAGTAACTAAGTAAAATCTTCAAAACCTTTCCACAGTAGATCAAGATTCATCTAGAAAGCTCCCATTTCAAGCTCAGGCAAGGCTTGAAATAAGAACCCAAAATTTGAAAAATTTAAAAATAAAAATAAAATAATAATAATAACAGGAAATACGCACCTTACCTTCAAAGCAAACCCAAGAACAAACACATGGATGTGACCTCCCAATCAATCCCTGCTCCCAAGTATAATGGATAAAACCCTCATCCCACAAAAATCCACTGTTTTCACAGATAAGCAAGGAATTTGGTACGCAAGAGTCACACAAAACCAACCCAGAAGAACAAAGTTGCAATCTTTTTGGAGGAAATAGAAGAGGGAAAGCAACGAAAAGGAGAAATATGAAGAATGGAAGAATTGTTGAAAGCATAAATGAATGAAAGAATGAATGAAGAAAATTAAGTAAAAGAAGAACTGTGTGAGAAGAACAAGAATAAGAAAACATGAGAAGAAGAAAAACTTTACACGAGTGGACCCCACCCTGTTGTTACCTTGCTTGCCTCCGAAAAATATCAAAAATAATTTATTTTTTTCCTATATTTCTGACCGAAATGTTTTATTATTATTTATTTGTTACTTGCAGTGTCGCGTGTACTGTATACAGACAGCTATATACGCTAGATTTTATGGTGATCTTTGTCCAAATACGTAGAATTGTAATTCTACGCGTCGTTCATGTGAAAGCTATTTTTCCTTATCTTAATTAGCCCCCCAAGGTTTTCTATATTTCAAGATTCTTCACTTTCGTCATTCCACGTATTATTATTAATAATATCTGGTAATAAAAGGTAATAAACTGTAAACAAAAAATCAAAGCATATAACTATTAAGTTTTCTCGTGTTTATCTTAACATTAGGTATATAAAATTGTTTCAGTTATTTATAGATAATTTAACGATGGTAAGAAAAGAAAAATAATATGTTAGGATAAAAAATAAAGAAAATGAACGTTAATTTTTTTCTGTGAAAATTGGCTTTTGGATATTAATGGATGAATAGATATTAATATTTTAAAGCACATGCATGGATATGGAAATGCGCGTGGACCTGTATTAAAAAATAAATAAATGACTTGAACAAGATTTATGTAGAGAAATTGTTCGTTGTCCTAATTTTTTCAAGGAACAAGATATTATTAGACCTCCCTTTACTCGTTTTATTTTCAAACATTAAATTGCATATCTAACATTAGATTTTCCTTTACTTCGAATTTGAGGCTTTTGATTAAAAGGAGCAAACTTTTTAGCATTTAGATCAATAATTATTGATTTTATACATTTACCTTCAATAAAATATATTTAGATTTGGATTGAATATATATTTTTTCGGGAGTGGATCCTCTAATGTTGAAAAAGACATGACATGGTCATCTGAACAATCATAATCATACAAAGATGAATCAATAATAATAAAAGAAAATAGAGAAAACAAATATTAAAAAAAATAATTATTAAATAATAACCATTGATTCACCTTTATATGGTTCTAATTATCTCACATGACTATATTATTATTATTTTAAACATAAAAGAATCTATTTCCATTTTTTCCATCAAATTAATAGAGTTATCCTATGAGACTTTCTTTCACAATCAATGATTCGACTGCCATATGAAAAATCAATTATTTTTTTTGGTAGAAAAAACCAAAATATTTTTAATAAAACTAAGTTCGATATCTTTAAAATAAAAACTTTATTTTTTGTAGAAAAAATTGAAAACATCTGTCAAGCCTTTATTGCATTATACATAAAGTTAGTCTACATAAAACTAAAGTTAACAACTAGGACATATTTTATGGTTAGAGGAACTAGTTTGTTCACTTTTAATTAATTTATTTTTTATTTCTTAAGAAAAATGGTTATTTATGACAGAATTAAAAAGTTTATTTTAAAAAGTATGAAATAACATATTTTATATATATAGTGTCTGTTTGAGAGTTTTTATTTTTAGTCTCTTCTTCTTATAAACAAAAACTTATTCAAACATGATTTTACAAAAGTTATTATCATAAAAGAATTTTTATAATGAAGAAAAAAGCTAAAAATAAAAAGCTTCCATGATAGACTTATTTTGTATTCTCCTATATTTTTTTAAATTATTTTCTTATTTATTTATGAATTTTATCATGTTCCCTAATAACAAATCATTTTATCTCTCTCCTTTCAAAACCTTAAAAACAATTTTATTCAATTATCAAACAGTTTTTAACTTTATTTTTTAATTTTTTTTTTTTAACTTTAACTAAAAATAATTTTTTAACTTTAACTAAAAATAATTTTTTAACTTAAAAGAATCCCAAACAGCCTCGTAACAAAACAATATGCTCTTTTGTATAATGCAGTTTTTAGGACAGAAAGCAACTAATTCCAATTCAACCATCAACAAAAATACAATGTACCAGACATTTTTTCTAGTCTCATGAAAGAACTTATGACTAGCTTAATTTTTGTATTTTATTTGGACATCCTCACAAGTATAATAAAACAATAGTTTTTCAAACTACTGTTGCGTTGCATGACTTGCTGTGTTAGAAGACTGAATTATTAAGTACATAATTATATTTGATTTGCATAATAACCAATGTATCTGAATTGCAAAATTTTGTTTCTGGTCTATGCTTATAAAATTCTATATGATTCTTGTAGTTTTTTCAACTTCAAAAATAGTACAAAAATATCTTGATAAGGCATGTTCTTTTCATTTTTGTTCATTCATGTTTATATCTACATCATTGTGTCATTTGAGCTTCATACACCAAGATGAAGTTCTTTATTTCTCTTAGAGATTAACCAATCATAGTTGACAAAAATTTCAAATTTTTCCCTCGTGCATCGCACGGATAAAAAATAAAGAAAATGAACATTAATTTTTCTATGTGAAAATTGACATTTGGATATTCATGGATGAATTGAGGTTAAAATTTTAAAGTGCATGCATGGATATAAAAATGTGCGTGGACCTGTATAAAAAAAAAATTAAATGACTTGAACAAGAATTATGTAGAGAAATTTATTCGTTGTAATGATTTTCTCAAGAAACAAGACATTATTAGACTTCCCTTTCTTGCACAATCAATGATTGGCACGGTATGATAAATAAATAAAAAATGGTTGGAAAAACCAAACTTTTTTTAATAAAACTAAGCACACTCTCTTTAAAATAAAAACTTTGTTTTTGGTAAAAAATATTAAAAACATGTCATTTTTTATCAAGCATTTATTGCATTATAGATAAAGTTCGTGTACATAAAACTCAAGTTAACAACAAAGTCTATGGTTAGAGGAACTAGTTTGTTTACTTTTAATTAATTTGTTTTTTATTTCTTAAGAAAAATGGTTATTTATGACAAAATTAAGAAGTTCATGTTAAAAAGTATGAAAAAGAACCATTGCGTGTAATGAATGAAATAGAAAGAAGAAAATGAATCATCTACCTGAATAGCAGCCAAAATTCACAATATTTTAAGATCATAAAGATAATAAAAGAATCAAACAACTGCTTTAAGATCCTACATGTTTCATGGAGTATAAAAAGCTTATAGAAATCATTACCTATGCTAAATATTTTATTTTGCGAAAAATATTTTCACCAAGAGAGAGAGGGGAAAAAACTTAGTTTTCAACAAAAGGATTAAGAAGATAGAATGAAAAAGAAAATATAGCTAGTCTGAAATAGAGTACACAAAGGAATTATCAATTAGGGTGGTTTGGTAGTGATATTAATTCCCAAACAAATGCCAACAAGGGAAATACAAGATCAAAAGAATTAGTACAAAAGTTCAACAGTTGAGAAGAGTCCGATTCATTAACTACATGGAAACTAAAATACAAGACAGTATAAAACTCAACCAAGTGCTACAATTGCAGATTTAAAACGTCTTCAAGTATTTTTTATTTTTTTTTACCAAAACCATGGTAAAAAAATTTACTTCAGATACACATTCTCTCATGCCAACAACACAATAAATAAATAAATAACTCAGGATTGAGAACCCTAAATTTTGAATTGGAACCTTTAAGGTGGCAAACACTCACAACAGCTAGACGTAGCTTGCAAACAGTGAAAATAGATCAGAGATCAAAGCAGAAAGAAATGCATTTCAAGAAGGGAACCCACATAAGACTGACCCACAAAATTGGATTAAGCCCTCAGTTAAATCTTCTGTTTTCAATACAGTAACTAAGTAAAATTTCCAAAACCTTTCCATAGTAGATCAAGATTCATCTAGAAAGCTCCCATTTCTAGCTCAGGCAAGGCTTGAAATAAGAACCCAAAATTTGAAAATTTTAAAAATAAAAAAATAACAGGAAATACGCACCTTACCTTCATAGCAAACCCAAGAACAAACACATGGATGTGACCTCCAAATCAATCCCTGCTACCAAGTATAATGGATAAAACCCTCAACCCACAAAAATTCACTGTTTTCACAAATAAGCAAGGAATTTGGTACGCTAAGAGTCACACAAAACTAATTTATCTGCATTAACTCTGTAGAAATATTTTTCTGTTATAATTATCCCACATCACTATATCATTATTTTTTTAAACACAAGAGAATCCATTTCCATTTTTTTCCATCAAATTAATAGAGTTATCCTATGATACTTTCTTTCACAATCAATGATTGGACTGGCATATGGAAAATCAATTTTTTTTTAGGTTGAAAAAATCAAAATATTTTTAATAAAACTAAGTATGATATCTTTAAAATAAAAACTTTATTTTTGGTAGAAAAAATTGAAAACATCTGTCAAACATTTATTGCATTATACAGAAAGTTAGTCTCCATAAAACTCAAGTTAACAACTAGGACATATTTTATGGTTAGAGGAACTAGTTTGTTCACTTTTAATTAATTTATTTTTTATTTCTTATGAAAATGGTTATTTATGACAGAATTAAGATGTTTATTTTTAAAAGTATGAAATAACGTATTTTATATGTATAATGTCTGTTTGAGAGTTTTTATTTTTAGCCTCTCTTCTTCTTATAAACAAAAACTTATTCAAACATGATTTTACAAAAGTTTTTATCATAAAAGAATTTTTATAATGAAAAAAAAATGTTAAAAACAAAAAACTTCTATGAGAGACTTATTTTGTATTCTCATATTTTTTATTTTTAAATTATTTTCTTATTTTAAACTTTTATTTATGAATTTTATCATCTTCCCTAATAACAATCATTTTATCTCTCTCCTTTCAAAACCTTAAGAACAATTTCATTCAATTATCAAACAGTTCTTAACTTTATTTTTTAAGCTCTTTTTTTTAACTTTAATCAAAAATAATTTTTTAACTTAAAAAATCCCAAACAGCCTCGTAACAAAACAATCTGCTCTTTTGTATAATGCAGTTTTTAGGATAG